CTCCAGAGAAAGGGCTCAGCACTCTTCAGTCCCAAATTACGTTAATGTCACTACCAGTATGAGTTAAGAACTATTTGCATAAATCAGGTCCCAGGTCAATGTACCAGAGATGTCCCTTTCTCCCCATCCACCTATGCATCTAACCGACCTAGTTCTTTGGAAGAGTGCCCATCAGCATGGTATCCGAGCCATTTCACCTCCTACTGACTCGCAGGCTTGGCCCCCAACACACAACGAGGGTTCCGTCCTGCCCTCTGCTGTGCAATCTGGCTGCGGTCCCACAAAGCACTTAAACACGTGCCTACACCACTGTGCACCTTGACAGGATCAAGCCCCTCATGCCATTGCTGAGGTGTTATATATGGTCACTGCTGTTATATAGGGTCAAGCCCCCACCTGCTCCATTTCTCCCAGGAGCCCACTGGACTTTAGTATCGCCCGATGCTGAAGTTACAACCCTCCTCTAGCCTGTCCAGCAGTGCCAAGAGGTAGACTGGCAGCAGCAGCATTAGCAGAGACCTACCCTCTAAGGCCCCAATCCTGCAAATACTTAGGCACATGCGTAACTTTACTATTACCAGAAGCCTAACTGATTTCAACGGGATGACTCATGATAGCGAGGTGTAAGTGTTTGCAGGACTGGGGGCTGATCCAGCTCCCACTGAGCATTGTTTTTTCTTAAACCCTGAGGTGGGGAGAGGGTGGAACAACTCAAATGAGACCTGATACTGGTCACATTTGCTGGGTTGCATTTCAGTCCAACATTGCCCTCTTTCCACCGGGGATGTTTTAGGGGAGCGAAGGGGGAAGGTTGATCCCCATAAATTTCACACCCCAAATAGTGCCTCATGGAGTCCTGAAATACGTCCCTTCTCCCATGACTGCAAGGTGGAGACACTAAGGATTTGTCCAAACTAAAGACATTTGCACGGGTGTAACAATTGCAAGATGGGTCACCCAGTACCTTACCCCTCACAGCAAATACAGCCATACAGATTTACACTGCGTGTAGGTTAGCAAATAAAACACAGTACAGACACATTAGACTGGAGTGGGGGCATTTCTTTCTTTCATCCTTATTGCTGGTGAATTGGACCAACAAGCCATTTCTAGTCACCTGTCCAGGAAGGTATAAGTCAGAGCAAATAGTTAAGGTCATGGGCATTTTTTGTGTTGATTTTTTTTAATTTTTTTGTGGGTTTTTTTTTTTAAAGATTTTTTTATATATATACATATATTTAAAAAGAAAATAAAGCGTTATGCAAATTTATGCTCAGCCACACGCTGGGGTCCTGGCGAGCTGCTAAGAGGCGGGGCCTGGGGCATTCCATCAGTTGAATGCCCCCTACAGGAGTTCAAGAGGATTTAGGCCCCCTGTACCCCTCTCCCCCCGAAAGTACAGCCCCCTCTCAGACCAGAGGTAGCTCTTGGTGCACCTGCAGCCTGCTGTTCTTTCTTCTGAAGTTGCTACATCAAAATATGGGGAGGAAGAAGAGGGGTAAGGAAGGGAGAACAAAATAAAACAGGTCACAATACTGCTACTCAGTATAAACTAGAACTGCTACATCAAGCTTTCTTTTAATATATATGTATATGTGTGTGTGTGTGTGTGTGTATATATATATAAATATATATATATAAAAAGGTTATTGGAACTAAACATTTCATTAAAGGCCGACTTGGAAGCTGGAGTGGGAAAGCCCAGTCCATGGAGATATGGACAGGCTGCCTACCGGCCATACGGATGGCTTCCCCTCCTGGTTCCGATCAACAAGCTTGGATAGTTGTTTGGGTTAGGGTTTTTTTTTTTTTCTCCCTTTAGAAAGGTTTTTCTAACATTTTCAGCATGCAGGAGGCTTTTACGTCACTTTATTTCATGAAGGGAAGGGAGAGATTCTAAGCTCCCATACCTTCCTCCCCACCACTCCCTAGGGTCAGTGCTAGAATACGGCCCCCGTCCACACCAGGTCCCCAGTCTGGGTATCTTCCCACCCTACTCCAACCCATCCCATCCCCACCCCACCCCACCCCACCCCACCCAAACCTCTTCACAACCTGGCATCAAAGAAAAACATTGATCAAAAACTCGCTCACATTACCACGAACAGACTTCACTTAGCCAATCATGACTAGTCACTCAACTAAGATATTGGCCCCATGGGACTCAGCCAGGGAAGCACCGGCTGTTGTGTTGTAATCCCATCCGTTACCAACACAGATATTTCTGAATGCCCCTTTGGAAGGGTGGTCTGATTTCCGACCAGCTTTTTCCCCCAACCACTCTCCTGACATCAGTAGGAAAGGTATGCACAAAGAGGAACAGAATTGTGGGGGTTACTCCCCAAAAAGAAAACTTATTTTTTACCTTTCCTTCTCTTCTATTGGGATTGAAACAAACAGATTTCAAATAATTATTGGACCCTTTCTGAAAAGGACGTGGTCAGAACAGGACAGATCCTCAAGTTTTCACTGAGGCCGTGTTTCCATTGAAACGGCTGGGAGGGGATCTCACTCCTGCACATTGGGAACAGCCCGAATCCCATGCACCACTTAAGCCTTCAAGATTTGAGTGGTACCTAGCCTCTTGCTCCTATGGAAGGCAACAGGCCCAATTCACCATTGTCCTGCAGCACTGGCGTAAATGACAACACAAGCAAGTGGGTCTAAAATGCTATGGCTGTGATTTGGTAGCAGTTTGACACCTTCTTTGCAGCGGTATAAATGACTGCAGAAGGTGCAGGGCAATGGAGAATTAGGCTGCTTAAGGTTTGTTAAAGCTGTGTGGGGAAGAAGAGGGGTCATATAACTTTGACATGACAGCGTCCCCTTTAGTACAACATTTTCTATCAGCATCCGCTGCAGAACCTAGGAGCGCAACCTCCTACCACTGTCTATCGCCTGCCCTGTATAACAATCCACCATCAATGCAAAGTGTTATAAGTACAAAATCTCAAGCCCCTCCACCTAACATCTGAAGATCATACATGGACCTTTTCTGAGGCTAAAGTCCAAACAGAGGCCTGCCTCAGTATCAGCAATCCACCCCCTGTATGTGACCGAAGGATGTCTTGAATGAATTGTAGAGGGGCTCAGTTGGGGTTGAGTGGCAAAGAATCAAGAGGAAGAGGGGATAGTCCCAGGAAGCACATTACGATGAAATTAAAGTCTCCTGTAACTCAAGGAACATCTCTGGCTATTTTTATTTATTTACTTTTTGGCTGTAGAACTGTCTCTCCCAAGTTGCTAAGCTCGTTGGTCCACAGTTCTAAATCAGGGTCCAGGATTCGTGAGTAGAAGTAATTTGGGGGTAGGAAAAGAGTGGGGTGGGGGGAAATATATATATATATATATATTGGTACTTGGTAGGTTAATCCAACACACGTAACTCTGCCACCATGGCAATTTGGCATCCAGGCACGGTTGAACAAACCTGATCACGTTAAGATGCTGGATTGTGATTGGCGTCGAGGCCAGATTTGAAGCCTGTCTCTCCCACTTCCCAACAGTTTAAAAAGTATCTGATTTAACAAAACCAGGAGTCTTCAAATGATTAAAAGGATGTTCAACAAGGCAATTCATTTATTTATTTTTTTGTTTTGTTCTGAAAAAAATATAATATATAAAAGTGGCAACCTCCGGAAGATCCAGGTTAAGGACAGTTGAAGAGGTTTTGGTCCATAAAGAAATATTTTCTTCTTCCTTTTTTTTTTTTTTAAATTTTCCACTTGGTTTTGGGTAACAAAAGTTTTGGTCCAGTTTAAAAACGACGACGACAAAATTATACATATAAACTCGTTTTTTTGCTTTCTGTCGGGATGCATGTTGGTTTCAAATGGGCTCATTGCTTGTATTGCATGATCGTCTTTCTTAGGTTTTGGTGCGGTATACTTTTTTTAAGAAAAGAAAAGAATGTTAGCGTGTGTGTGTACTTTAAGAAAAGAACAATGCTCTGTGTGTGTGTGGAGAGCTGCAGCTGGTATCACTTGGAAAAAGCAAAGAAGAGTGAACTATGGAAACATGGAAGTCAATCCTTGCCCTTGGATGGGAACTCAAGACTGGTTTTGAAATACCCTGTTAGTGACTCCTGATTCATCTGATGAACAAATCCCTGTTTGGATTTAAAAAAACAAAAAAAACAAAACAGAGTTCCAAACTCCGCGGTGGCTCAGAATAATAAAATAAATGCTAAGCACCCAGTGTGACTCCTACAGGTTCTTCCAAACCTTCTTCAGTTTCACCGGCGTCATTTTTATTTGTTTTTTCAATGTTCTTTTTTTAGTAAAAAAAAGGAAAACAATAAAAGTTCTTTAGCTGCTGTTTTGTGGTTTTTTTTTTGTTTGTATTTTTTAAAATCTTTGAGGTAATAGAGTTGTGCCCTCGTTCTAACAGGTTCCCAGAGGTTGATGGTTTTTTTTTCTTTCTTTTTTCCCCCTTTGCCGTCTGTTTTCTTTTCTTTCTGAGCTCTTGTCTGCCGGTTGGTTTGATGTCCCGGGGGGGGGGCAGCTTCAGACCAAGTTAAAAGAGGGAGTGTCGGTGGGGAAGGAAGAGCTGTTGGGGAAGACCCTCATTTCCCATGTGCCCCCGGTGTCCTGGTCAAATAAAGATGACCAAGCGTGGTCAATGCAGAGGAGCTCTGAGTCCTGTCTCGCCACAAAAAAAAAATTAACTAAACCGCTTTGCTTCCGAGATCCAAGTGTGCGTTCAGAGTACTTGTTTTAAAAAGACATTGTAGGCTGGAGCATCGTTTGCCCTTCAAAATTTCTGGCTTTTCTATTCATTTTAATTTATTATTATTCACTTCTTTTTTTAAAAAATAATGTACATTGCTCGTAAAATAATTTCTTTTTTCTTCTTCTTCTTTAAATTAATTATTTTATCCTTTCATTCATTCGTTTAGTCTTCAGATGTCATTAATTATTATTATTATCATCATCATCATCTTTTTATTGGACTCCCACCCCCTCCCCATTTCGGTCCCCACTTCCCCCCCCCAACCCCGTCCTGTCTCTTTAAGAAAATATTCTAATAGCCTGAGTGGCTGCAGCATGGCAAACCGGGCACTCCGGGTCGGTCCTCTCGCAGATCCGCACAGCGCACTCCATGCAGAAGAGGTTATGGCCGCACGGCACCAGGGCTGCCGTCACTTCGCTTTCAAAGCACACCATGCACTCCCGACTGCTGGAGATGGATGTCCGGGCAGTGGTGTTGGCTCCCAGCTTGGAAAATCCTTGCAGTGGTTCCCCTTGAGACCTTCTGGGGAGCCCAGAGAGGTTAGGCTCTTGGATAGAAGAGGACGGGGAGCGATGCGAGTTAGGATGGACGGCACCAGTGCTGCCGGATCGCTGCTGTTTAGAGAAGAGCACTGAGACGGGGTTGGTGTTTTCCTGCCCGGCCCACATGGGAGCACCAGATTCTGGCACCCCATAATAGAGATCTTGTTTGTTCACACCATAGTTAGGAAAGAGGTAACCATAATTGAAGTCATTTTGGTCGTTCAGTCGGGGTGTCTCGTAGACCGGGTCCACAGAGCAGTCGCCAATGCACCCAAGGCTGTTCTGTCGGAAGGTGGAGAGGGGCTTGCAGCCTGGGGCAGGCGTGTGGACCCGCCACGCCTCTGAGTAGCGGTTCTCCATGCCCGAGTCAGGGCTGCTGGACAGGAAGTCATTCTCATTGTTGTATTCTAGGATCTTGCCTGTCCTCACTGCAATGTGGGTCTCGATCTCCTCCCGGGCCCGCTCCACGTTGCCCGGTGCCCCTGTGATCTCGAAGACGGGGTCCCGGTCCCGGCTGGGTGTGATGATGTAGGTATTGGTTTGCTGCTGGATCCGCTTGATGGTGGCCCCTTTGGGACCCACTACCAAGCCCACCACACGATAGGGTACACGGACCCGGATGGTGACTTGGCCGGGCAGGGTAGGGGCGCTGCCAAAGGTGGTGCCGGCCTTGTTGCGGGAGGCCCGGATCATGGAGAAGTGCTCAGCTGCTGAGATGATCTCCCGCCTAGCCATGGCAACGTCCTCCCGCCGCCCCGTCACCATGAAGACCGGCTCCTCACCGCGCACCGGGGTCTTGATGTAGGTGTTGGTCTTTGCCCTCAGAGCTTTGATCTTGCAGCCTTGGGGAAAAGCAAAGACAGAAAACAAGGGAGAGGGATTAGAGTCAAGGTCTTCTCCCTAACATCCTCTGCACAAAACTCCACCTGGCGCTCAATTTTCCCTCAAGGCCTACTCTGGGGCCCAGCCCCGTCAGGGGCCAAGCACCCTCCCACTCAAGGTCCAGACCTGCCAGGGACCTAATGATCTGGCCACTTGCCATGAAAACACCATTCATCTCCTGGTCCCAGCCCCGCTCTACACTCCCAGGCTTGTGCGTTTGTCCAGTGGTCTCCCCCAGAAATGTAGGGCCTTAACATGATATAGCTCAGTGTTTTATGCTCAGCAGCCTCCCCGCCACTCCTTCCTCCCCAACAGGGGGTGCTGGGTAGCCATTCACCCAGTAGGTCTGTTGAGAGAAATATGAGGTTCTAGTACATCCTTCGCTGGGGCCTCATCCTCTCCCCATTTCATTTTGTTTGCACAGACATTACAGGTGTTTTAGGGCCCCCCTGAGCTCGGGGTCGCAGTACAATAGCCCCCTTCTCTCCCCCTCACGTCAGCCCTGCCCCCCAGCCCCCGGCAACCGGGCGAGGCTGGTGACCATTGGTGGTGGCACCATCTTGAGACCAGCAGCCTCAGCCTCCCACTGGGGAGGAAAAATTCATTTCATCACTGCAGGGATTGGTCCCTTAATGAGTGAGGATCCAGCCCCCACTCAGCTACACACTGGGGAAGGGAGAGGGAGAGGCTCCAGCTGCTCCCCCCCCCAGCCACACACTGGGGAAGGGGGAGGGAGAGGCTCCAGCTCCCCCCCGCCCCCAGCCACACACTGGGGAAGGGGGAGGGAGAGGCTCCAGCCCCCCCCACAGCCACACACTGGGGAAGGGGGAGGGAGAGGCTCCAGGCCCCCCCCCCCCAGCCACACACTGGGGAAGGGGGAGGAAGAGGCTCCAGGCCCCCCCCCTCCAGCCACACACTGGGGAAGGGGGAGGAAGAGGCTCCAGGCCCCCCCCCAGCCACACACTGGGGAAGGGGGAGGAAGAGGCTCCAGGCCCCCCCCCCCCCAGCCACACACTGGGGAAGGGGGAGGGAGAGCCTCCAGCCCTCCCGCCCCCCAGCCACACACTGGGGAGGGAGAGACCCTCTCTCCCCCCACATAAACACTGCATATGGAGGCCTCAGGAAATCACCTGCCCTCTGCCCCACAGTGGCTCCTTTCCTCAGTCCCTTTGTTCACCACTCCCCACCCCCCCGGAAGGCCAGGGGTCCCATCGTGTCACCCGGAGAACCCTGTCCTCTTCCCTACGCACTGCCTGGGCCCTTAAACGGCTCCCATGGCAACGCAGGATTCGGCCTGCCTAATGCGCCGAGGGGCTCCGACCCATCATTCTCATTGACATTAACAGGCCTCATCCCATTGACTCCCCCAGGGGAATAACGGGACCCCGACTGCCGATGCGGGAGGCTCAGCCCCTCTCCACACGTTGAAGGTCCAGCTCCTAAAAGTAGCCTTGGGTGAGGAGGATTACTAGTGGTGAAAAGGAGGTGGGGGGGGGGTTGCTTGAAGAGATGGGTTTAAAGGAGGGATCAGGTGCTTGGCAGAGAAGTGTCCCAGTCTAGCGGGCAGCATGATGGAAAGCATGCAGCAGAGAGCAGGGGGAAGAGGCGAGGAAGGGATAATGCAGACGGCGGGGCCTGGGCTCCCCAACCAGCCACTGGGAAAGCGGCATGAAGCCCCCCAGCAAAAGGGGATAAGTGTGATTTAAAGCCTTGAGCAAAGGGTGGTAGGGCCACGGGGCTGAGAGCTTGGACTGAGGACCAGATGTGAGGACAACAGACTTTGTTAACCTGGAAGGGGTGGAATTAAAAACATGGCCTGTCCGAAGGGCTGAGCTGCAGCAAAAGACAACCCACTGCAGGACTGGAGCGACCATTGGTAGGGAGCACTACAGAGGAAAGAGCTGCCATGCCACATCCAGCAACGAGGGGGCGAGCCAGCGGTGAGTCTTGTTATATTAATTTAGATGGAATATATGGGCCTGAAGAGTCCAAGCTGTTAACTTGACTCTGTCTGTCACTGTCCCACTTTAAACAGTGTTAAATAACCTCTGGGGTTTGGTATACAGAGCCTGCTTCGTACCACGGCAAACATGCTAGGAAATTCATGCCAAAGGTTAGAAACGTATTGACTGAAACACACAAAAGGCAACGAATCAACAGGCGGCAAAAAGCATTGGAACTGAGATTGAGTGATTATGCAAAACAAATTTAATCAAAACCTCTTTTTAAAGAGGGCGAATACTGGTTAAAGTCTTTTATTCGGTCAAACAGTCCCTTGGTGGGGAAAAAAGGATTAATTCTGGTGTTCAGTTCTGAATTGGGAATGATAGCCTCAACACAGAAGGGAGAGGGGGGCAACATGGGGAAAACACAGCTTTTGTCGATGTTTTTATGGTACGGGATGGCAGGTCAGTCAGGAATGGATGCTTTAGGATGTTCTGGACCCCGCCACACCTCCGACCATCTCACTGATCTGGTCAGGTCCCTTTCCTGGTCCATCTCAGGCCCTGCAGGACTGAATGGACCGCCTTATATCAGTGTGCCGTGTGGTGTAGTTGACTTCAAGATCAGGTAAAAAGCAGAGTGAGAGATAGGAGAGAAGGAATATAGTGGGGGACAGAAAGTCACATGAAGGAGGGGAAGACAGGGCAGGACCTCACTCATATGAGCCTGGGTTCCTCACTGGAGCAGCTATGGTGGCCAAGAGTCCCCAGTGGAGTATCAAGGTAAAAATCCCTACACCGCAGCCACAATGGTTGTAGCACTTCCCTTTCCTCCCAAGCCTCTTTTTAGTGCCCCCAAAAGTGTGATGGGTGGAATGGCCCGCCCTCTTCTTATTTTGCCCACCAATTAGGCCTAAGTTCCAAAGCACCAGTTTTGGCTCATTAATTTCTGGTCCGCTGCTCCTCTTGTTTACCAGTCATAATCTTAATGCAGTCCTTGGGTAATATCAGTAAGCCCTCTCTGTTTAAATTAATTCTGTCTTTCTGTCTCCTTAAATCTTTTCTTAAACAGTTTTATGTAACAGGTCATTATAACAATTCATGACCCTTTATCCACTTTCCATTGGCTAGGCTCACAGTTATAGTAGGCCTGCTAGGCCTTCGAGATTACCTGTTATGGTAGTATCTCTGGCCCCTCCCAAGATTGGGATTTATTGTGCTGGGCGCTGTATAAATACATGGTGAGAGACAATCCCTGCCCTGAAGTGCTTACAATATAAATAGACAAAGGAAGAATTATTACCCCCCCTTTACTGATGGGAAACCAAGGCACAGAGAGACTAAATGATTTGTGTTAGGGCACACCGGGAGTGTGTGGCAGAGTCAGGAAACCAGATGTCCTGTGTCCTAGCCCAGCACCTCAGCCACAAGAACATCCTTCTTATAGGTGGAAATAAGGGATAATTACTAGTTGAAAAACAAATGTGTCCTTTGTAAGTTAAGAGAAAAATTCTTCCGGATGGCATTCCTGTAGGACATAGAGTCTATTAAAAACTCCTTTTTACAAGCATCTCAACTTTAGGGACAAATCATATCAGGCACTGGTCCGTTTGAAATAACAAAGCCGGGGGACTGGCAAGCTCAAGGGGGATGATAGATAGAGCCTTTCACATCTAACCCATCCTTTCAAATCGTGTTGGTGGTGACCCAGTGTTGTTAACATCTGGAGGCTATTGGGTTCCTTGTGAGAAACGAGTTCAGCAGGGCTCAGCCCAGTTCCCTGCGACACAAACACCTGTTGTCACTGGATCCCTTATTGTTAGCCTCAGCAGAGAGAGAATTGAATGTGCCCCTCTCGGTCACAGTTGATCCCCAGAGTTGAAGGACATTGGGGAGCATGGTACGTTTGGGGTGGCGGATAGAATCTTGCATTACCACTGCTGAGCTGGTATTGAAAACTTGCAGATGATCAGCTCTGCCCACACCCTGAAGGTCTTGGAAAGACCAGTCAGGTTTAGGGCTCCAAGGGCACATGATCTCACCAGCTGGCTTGCAGCCTTTCTGCCAAGCTGCGGCTCACCTAGAAATCCCTCTTCTTTTCACTTTGTCTAGAGCTAGCCCTTCCCTCTCCCATTGCAGCACCAAGCCTGCAGGTCGCCAGCAGCTGCGTCCCCATCCCAGCCCACAGCGTGGCAGCTGCCCCTCCGCCTCCCTGGCTTTGCTGCTGGATCAGTGGACCGGTGCATCTACCAGCGCCACCCCACTCTCCAAAGCCCTGCTGTGAAGAAGTGCCCAGAGCAGGACTGCATGATGCCTGGGCCCCACCCATGCGCCCCAAATCTTCCTGTAGAACTGCATCAAATCTGCAGCTTCTGCTGCCACAGAGAGGGCAGCACTTTGCCCTGGATGAATTTCAGAGAGGTGAGATATGCAAAATAAACAGCCCTGGCAGCTGATAGTACAGCATGAGCAGCAGCAAGGTGAGCTTCCTTCCTATACTACTTCCCTGTCAATATCCTAGACTCTATAGGAACCCCATCAAAGTGCTAAGAGGAGACCTGACTCTCCACGGTCCAGTCACTCAGCTTCTCTACTAAGGCTGCCTGGAGTTTTTTCTGGTATGGATCTGGACTAGCACACACCATACTCACTCCACACAGGCCACTGAACAGTTGTGAGGCTTCTGGTCATAATCGACCTGGGTGAGAGTTACACACCATCCTAAAGGGGAAAGGGTACATACCCCATTACCAGTCCCCTCTCCCTTGGTCAAAAATTGCTTCCTGTCTTTCCAAAGGGAGGGAAAGGAGATTCATGGTGGTTTGATGTAGGAAGGAGCCATTGTGCAAACGGCCTTATACCAGGGAAAGAATGAGATCTGAAAGTGATCGTTTCCCTCCACCCCCCCTCCCCAATCTGCAGTAGGCAAATGGGGTTCTTCCCAGCTGCAGATGTCTCAGTTACAGCTGGTCAAAAAAGCGGATGTCTTCAACCTGCTCCAGTCTCAATAAATACAG